TCTCTTTTTTTTTAATGTTGTTGTTGTTCTTCTTCTTCTTCGCCTTCATCTTCCTCTTCATCTGGAAACATGCTAGTTTCATATCTTCTTCTTTTCTAGCTCACACGAGGCGGGATCTGCGGCTGCTGTTGGCCGGTAATTCATCCTGCTCCGCTCCCCGCGGCTCCAGTTGCCTTTTGAAAACGTATACCATGCTGTCAGGGGCCTTCGGAAATTTCTTGCACTTCTCCGAGTCTCGAGGATGAAATGATGGTGCTGTCTGGTTAGGGTTCAGCCCGTTTTTTATGTTAATCATTCAATGGAGATGGCGTCAATCCATCCGCGCAATTAATCCTCACCTGTTATTCGCGCATGAATGAGAGTGTTCAAGCAATTTGAACGAATCCGCTTAAAGAACGAATATCGCATCCTTCACGTTAAGCAATGAATGAAAAGCCGAATTTCGGGGGATTTTTCGGAGAATTAGTTGATGACGTGCTTTTGTTTCTGCACAAATTTAGTGCTGTTGCTGAAATCGAAGAAACTTGAAACTTCGTTGGTATGTTCTTGGAAATCAACATTTATTGACATCGGACGAATAATTTTGAGTTCTTTTCGTGCAGTTTAGGAACAATACATTTCGAGTAATCTTCCAAATTAGTTTTTGTTTTGTTTTGGGGATGTCTTTCCCGAGTTCTTCAGGCCGAAATGTCCGCATCAGGGATTTGTGAGTAGAAAAAAAGTTTTTATCTTATTTTCTGTAAGGTCACATTAAATGCCTTAAAATAAAATAAATTTTAGACGTGCAGTCCACACACTTTTATGATTTTACTGTGAAAAAAACGCTGTGAAATACAAAAGGAAATTCCTGGGATGAATTCAGGATATTACTTTATATTGTTATATTTTCAACATTCCTGAATAAGAACGTGACACGGAAGTGTATTGTTAGGACGGTAACTAGACAGTACAATGCACGCCAAAATTGTTATGCTTCTTGTGCCACTTTGGCGCGTAATGAATCTTAAAATAAATCTTTTTTGGCGTATATGAGGGACACAGATTTTTGAATCCATTTGATGAGATTTATTGGGGTTGGATTGAAAAAACAGACAACCTTCTTCTTGTCAAAATCAGAAGGAACGGAAAAAATGATTGAAAAGTTTTTGAGCTAGGGAAACGAGCCTTTTTTAAAAGAGAAAGATGGAGAATTAAAATTAGTTAAAATTTGGCTATGCAGTATTTTTTAAACCCTGAACTGCTGGATAAATGAGTCGACAGAAATAGTTACATTACTTTCAGATCATGGAGTTACACTTCTATTGCTCCTCTTCTTGGGTCCCCATAATAATAGCCCGAATGCATTTACAAATTTGAGTTTTTGAGGTTTATGGGAGAAACTATGTTACTATAAGGGAGGTCTGTATTATACTGTACAAAAAGTTTTGCATGGTACGGTATATTTTTTCGACAGAGGTTTGAGTTAGCAAGGTCATACTTTATTGGCCTGCAACCGAGTAAAATTATATTTTGCTTAGACAGCATTTGAAAAACGTATTCAATTTTATGGATGTACACCGTGTGGTCTCATAAATTTGGAATTCAATTGTCCAGCTTCTGGACGGCTTGGAATCTGATTACTTTTATTAATATTATGTGTTTAGGAGAAAACATAATTTTACCATATTATTTGTACTTCGAACAGAAGCTTCAATTAGTTATCCAGGCTAATGCCTTTTGAAAATGTATTAACTGTATAATCACGTTAAGGCATCCTTGAAAAATGTGTTGCCTGTCAAATAAACGTTTCACATTTGATGAACTTTGCTAAGAGTTATCCCCCATTAATTCCCCATGAAAATCGGAGTTCTTTTAAAACTGGATTTTTATTCATTTTGGATCGTCTCTTGAAGTTGAAATTTGTTATACGCGTACAGCTTGAAATTTTTTCTTTACAGTACAGAACAGTGTAATTTGAATTATCATTGCTTGAATGTCCATGTCTGTCTGTTGGGATACGGCATTTAATCTATGTTTCATGAAGGATATTAAAATGCTGGATCATTTTTATTAATATCATATTAATTATAATCAACAAGCTCGAGGTGCTCAGCCACACCTGGGCATTACACATTTACAGAATTTTTAGTGATCAGGTCAGGTTATTTATGAATAATCTGACCCGACGATGATTACTACCGCGACGTACGTAATGGGAAATTTTAAAGTATAATTGCTATAATTAGTCAAAAATCGGAATAAAAAGCGACCTTAGTAAAATTGGCTAACTGTTTGCAAGTCGTATTTTCTGTTGTAGGAGAGTAAATACAAATTGGGATATACTTAATAAAAATTCCCGATTCTCGGTAATCAGAGTTATAACGTGCAAAGTACAGTTTTTTTGCAGTTAGAGTACTGCATATATGTGAAACGATTTGAAATGCTTCTGACGATTTTGTTGGACCAAAGCGCTCACGGACTATTACTCGTGATAATGAGTACCGTAGACGCTTGCTTGTTGTTGTTTGTTTTTTTTTCGGTCGAGGTAAAAGGTTTGTTCGAGTGTCCGGACTTCGTAAGATTTTGCATAAGTTGTGAGCAACCCGCGCGTACGTCACGTCGTCGGGGGCGGGGATCTCGACGTTCGCGCCGGAGCTGTCGATCCACGTGTTGTTCCCCCGAAGGATTCCAGCAGCCCCATACGTCGTTGTTCTCTCCTTCTATCTAGCGCATCTTTTTCTCATTCCTTGTTCAATTTCTCCTTGCCTGCATGCCCCCGTTGATGCTTCTTTTTTCCTTCTTCCACTTCTGCTGCTGCTTCTCCTTTTTTTTATATTTCTGTGTACCTTTTTTTCCCGTTTTCCGACCTGACCCAACCGACGACGCCCGGCCCAGCACCGCCTTCGTGCACAAGTCACTCCCGCTTGATCGGGGCCAGTTTTTCGCGAGAATTCAGGGACGCGTTTCGGGTTCGCACGCCCCATCGGGTTCGCCTTTTTTTTTATGCGTGTGTGTGTGTGTGTGTGTGTGACGGGGTTACGGGCATGTGGCGGTGGTGCGTAATTGTCATCGTCGCGGGCTACGAGTGATGGGTTCCTGAAAACGAACTCTTGATGACGCAGGGCTTTCCCGAATATCTCCTGGGCTTGCAGCAGACACACAATCTGCTTCGGGGTTCGCGATAAGTCTTGCGTGAAGAAAAAGATCCTTGTTGGTGGAAAAAAAAAGAAAGAAAGAGGGGAAACGTGGAAGATTACATCAGTGAAGTTTGGTTATTTGAAATTGCTGATTTCATCGTAATCTATTTTGCGTGGATTTTCGTCGGATTCTTCGTCATCATGAGCAGTGCTATATTTTTTTTGGCGTGCGTTTATTTGTAAGCTTTACGTGTGGAAGCGCTTATTGGCGAAGAATCACCAAACATAACCCTGGTTGCATAAGTTGAGCAAAACTTGAGGAATAAAGCTCGGAAGCTCGATTGAGAATCCAGTGAACGCTTTTTTTCTTTTTTAAAAAAGACCAGTTCCCGAGAAAAAATATAATTTGTGAGAGAGAAGTCATCCAAATTAATCTGAATAATTTCAAGGCGAGTTCTAGAAAAAGTTGGAATGCTCAGTTAAAAACTCGGTTGCACACATTTTTGGCACCGCCGGAAAAGAAATAAATGTTGCTCTTTCAATGCAGGAAATTTGGAGTTGAAAATATTTTCAGAAAGTGACTGTATTTGATCGTGGTTATAGTGTGTTCATGAAAAATTCCGCGAATCCGAAATGTATTTTTGAGTCTCTTTGGTAATTAGTACAGTATAATGTCATTCGGCAAATCACAGTACATAACTTCAAATTGAATGGTACAGTAGCTTTTCACCACCAGCGCACTTGTTCACAAATCAATTTATCCTTTCCCACTTCACTTCACAAGTAGTAAAACCATGACGCTTGCACACGTAAATTTGTCTGGCATCTTTTGAGGTCTACTGATTTATTAGGACATTCTCCATCAGAAGTTTTTTTTTTTATTTTCTTACTGTAGCCATTCAATGTGGTTTTAATATCACAGGAAATAATCTGCCATGCATTCCCGAAGTTCATGCAACCCTATGCAAGACCCGCAAAGTCGGGCATTATACGAAAATTTGAATATATTCCCCAAGAAACCTCAGGTTTTGAACATAATCATGATGTGCATCCGTGTTCATCTTCCAAAAATTTCGGGGAAAGCTGGATTTGAGTGGTACTGTATCATGAAGTATAGTATTTATTGAGTGGTACACCTAGAAAGTCTAACTAACAGACACTTGAGCAGAAATCAGATCTGTTTGAAATTTTTTCTGAAGCGATAAATACTGTACTAAATAAAAACGGCGGTACTCCGTATTATACGGATGCCTTGCGTACATTATTCTTTGCACGAAAAATTGGGCCTGTTGCCCACCCCCCCCCCCCCCCCCCAGAAATTAAACATAGCTTGAATGAAAAAAAATGACTGAGACATGTGATTTAAATTCTAGAACATTAACGTGGGAAATTTAACGGAAACTGTTCTTTCAAGTGGACGGAATATTTTTTTTATTCTTGATTACGCTGACTATTATTTTCTAATTTTTTTCGCATTCACTTGTGTTCTATTTCACATTCAAATTTACTGATTTTATGTTTTAAATGTATGAAGGAGATTACTTGAGAGTAATATGACGGATTAACGATTTAATATACCGCTTTAAAATAATCATTCGATACCTTGTGGTGGTCCTGGAAACGACTATACTTTATAGTCATTATATTCAGCTCGAAAATTATTATTGAATCAACAGAAAATCTTCGATAATAGATTCCCCCAATTGGAAAAATCGAGTTTACTGAACCGAGGCACTCAAAAGAGTGACCTCAGAAAAAAAGAATTGTAATTCGCTCAACGGGAACCAACTTACCGCAGAACCAATATAGCCGACTTTCTGTTTATTCAGGAATAAAACTGGTGCATTCTCGAAGTGAAATTATATCAATCCCCCCCATGTCGTGATGATTTCATCGGAAAATTGCGCAAATAACCCGGGCCCCTTGCCGGAATTCAAGCACATGATGTTGCACCCGGGGGACATCGGACTCGTCGATGCCCCGATCGACGAACACTCTACCCCGTTCTCATCGGACCCCGTTATCGGCCCCGAACCCGAACACTTTAAAGAGTACGCCGAGGATCACAAGGATCCCGACTGCTGTCCGGTCATTGAAGCGTCGGCTCCAGTTGTCCCCGACGGGTTCAATCGGGTCTCATCACTAGTAGACAGTGCCAAAATCGAACAAGTCGAAGAGCCCGATGACGAGCAACTACCCGTGATGCGATTCCCGGGCGACGACGACGACGACGACGAAGGCGAAGAATTATTGGACGCCAACGCCGGGAACCGCGCCGCCGAGGAACTCAAACGCCAGCCGCAACAACCCGCCGTCGTCAAACGAGAACAACAACAACAACAGCAGCAACAATGCAATGCTGCTGCGTCCCGTCGAATCCCCAAGCCGCAAATCAGCTACATCATGCTCATCGCCATGGCCATAGAAAGCTCGCCAGACAAGAAACTCACGCTGGACGAGATCTACAAGCACCTCATGAAATCCCACCCGTTTTTCCGCGGCGCCTACACCGGCTGGAAGAACTCGGTGCGCCACAACCTCAGTCTCAACGACTGCTTCATCAAGCTGCCCAAGCCCCTGGGGAAACCCGGCAAGGGTCACTACTGGACCGTCGACCCCTCGGCCAAGTACATCTTCGAAAAGGGGAACCAACGCAGGCGGCCCCGCGGGTTCCGACGCAAGTGTCAGCAAGCCGGCGTCGGGTCCCAGTTCTCGTCGTCATCGGGCCCCGCGCCACCCAACTACCACCTCTCGCACTCGCAATACGCCTCTACTTTTGCTCCTCCTGGTGGTGGTGGGCAGCAGAAAGGGGTGCAGTGCCACCAGCAGCAGGCGAGTCCCAACAGGTACGCACACCCCCATATACAACAACAACAGCAGCAGCACCAACAACAGCAGTCTTTGGCGAGCCAGAGTATTTATTGCTCCAGCAACGAGTCCTACTTCCCGGTCACGTCGTTGCCCAGTTTGCCGAGCATCAGCGTGGCGTTCGAGCCGTGTCTGGTGGACGACCCCGCGGCGGCGATGGCGCACTGCGAAGTCGGCTTCCCTTGCGGCGGGTCCGCCAACACCAACTGCTATTTAATGGCGTCGGGCATCGGGTGCGACGGGGACCGGCAACACGCCATGGTCGGGTATAATTCAGCAGCGGGATACGCGAGTTCAGCGAATGCGTGGCACTCGTACGTGCCATCGGCAGAGGACCAAGCGGAAGTGTACCATCATCATCATCACGTTCACCACGCCGTGGACCACCCCCACCACCACCACGCACTCGTGTCCGATTTGGTGTTCGGCGCAGGAGGTGCGGAGGCTGTGGGCATGGAGAATGGGATCCCTGCTGGGGAAGGGATCTCCTTGCCTGGGATGCATCATGCACAGCACCACCAAAACCACCATCAGCAGCAGCACCATTTGGGACTGCCGCAGTACGAGCCGATGGTTGTCGACTCGGCGACGGATCGCCAGCACCAACAACAAGTCTTTGTGGTGCAACCGGCGTCCAAGGATGATTCTGGAAGTGAGGCTGGTGGTGGCGGCGGTGGTGGCGGCGGCGGCGGCGGCGGAGGAGGAATTGTTTGCGGCGGAGATCCACGGGAGTCGTATGCGCAGTTGCACGTGTACGACAGTGTCGCCGCCGTGCAGGGCACGCAGTCGACGGCTGCTGGGGCATGTGTTGAGCCTCCGCCGTATCTCCTGTGAACCTTCAGTTTTGACAGGTGAATTTGAAACTCAAACGCAGAGGGTATTCTCCAAATGTATAGAATTTCACTCTGTCCACAAAAAAATATACATGTATAGCCAGAGCAAAACCGTGAATGAGGAATAAGCCATGCTGAGGATGCGATTGGCTGCCAATAATTGAAACCACATTTATTTGAATACGAGTGGACTATCTCTCTACAACGATCTTGTCTAAAAGAATTTTTGTGGTCCAATAGGATTATCTCCCCATGTTATAGACTAGAGGCTCTCTACAGATAATCTTTGAGATGACAGTCCACGTGTATTTTGAAAAAAAAAAAAGCTTGTGACGTCTGCTTTTTTTTAATAATCATGAAAAATGGCATTTCTGTCGGGGTATCTCGATGTCCGACATGAAAATAAAACTATGATCTGAAGAATGAAATGAGCACTAGGCCGAGTGGAGGAATATATTACTGTAAGGAATATAGTATTTAGTTACAATATTTGATTGAGAAAATTTTTTTGAATCTTCCGTGCTACCGACAGGTTTTTGTGTTCTACTTAAATTTCATTAGGGTATGTTAAATCCCAATTCAGGCTCAGAGTAGTGTTCCATTATCAAAATACTGATGAAAATTGCATCCCTTGAATACTTATTGTTTTTTACTTAGTCAATGAAGAGAGAGGGAGAGAGATAGAGATAGAGAGAGAGAGAGAGATAGAGAGAGAGAGAGAGAGANATGTTAAATCCCAATTCAGGCTCAGAGTAGTGTTCCATTATCAAAATACTGATGAAAATTGCATCCCTTGAATACTTATTGTTTTTTACTTAGTCAATGAAGAGAGAGAGAGAGAGAGAGAGAGAGAGAGAGAGAGAGAGAGAGAGAGAGAGAGAGAGAGAGAGAGAGAGAGAGAGAGAGAGAGAGAGAGAGAGAGAGAAAAGGGTTCCCTTGACAGAACAAAATCATACTATTTCTTTAAATTTAACTCTAGTGTTGTAAAATAGTTGGTTATCCATTTATGTTTGCTAAGTAAATTGTATTTACGGTATAAAGGAGGTGTTTGTTTTCACACAATTATTTCGAAGCCTATGAGAAAAACATTTGAAAATACTTGAACATTATTTAATTTCAGAGTTCTAAATAACATCTGAAAAAATGGACTGATTATAACTGGATAATGAAATGAAAATGAAATATCCGAGGCAGGAATTTACCATAATCAAAAGAATTATACTTCGCCAAGAATTTCTAGAGAATTATGAGCAGACCCGGATTTCCGCAGTTTTAAGAACATTTTTATTTTACTGTATCACACAATCCACTTTTTCTGCAGCGTTTTTATTTCACAGATAGATTTGAATAAAAAAAATACTCGACCTAAACGGGTGTTCTCTTCAACTGGGCCTCACAGACACGTCTTAAGAAGTTTTATGAATTAAAGTTAGTATCAAATTAAATAAATTCTGATCGCGTGGAAAGTATTTCTTTCTTTGTTTAATAGCACGATGGCATTTGTGTGTGTAACGAGAGACAAACAAAGCGCCGCCCATCTCAGTGTAGTACAACCCAGCGTTTGACAAGAGTCGGAATTACATGTAGCATAGGGCTGTTCAATGCCTCATTGAGCAATTCAGCGCCAAATCTGCCTTCCGACCACCAAAATCCCTTCCATTTGCATTTTTCCATCATCTTTTGTCTAGGTTTTTATTTGGTGTCTCCTTCCCAATCGACTTGATTAAGTGCTAAATTTAAAATATACTGAAATCAGTAATTTAAAATAAAATCAAAATTCAAAGCACCCAAGTTGTTCAAAACTGGTCTACAAAAGTATGTAGAACTCTACAACGCCTTCGAATGCAGTTTCGTGGATTTGATTTTCTCGTGATATCCCCTTAATACATGCCAAATTCATGCGAACCGCCTGAAGTGGAGAAAAAAAAAGTCGGAAAATTTTTGAAACAAAATCGTAAATTTGAAAAATTAGTGCATTTACTTGGCTGTCGTCAAAAGGAAGATTTGGCACTGAGTATCATCTTATATTTCCCCGAAGGCAAGCACGGATCAGAGAGGATCACGGGCTAAAAAAACACGGTTGTGAATTAAAATCTGGATGAGGCCATTCAGAAAAATTTCCCGAATTTCCCTCCGAAAAAAAATGGATGAAAGGGGATGAATTAGGACATCAGAGAATTTGGAAGACTTTCTAGACTATCTAGAGTATGTAGATTGTATCTTAATTTTTTAACTTTCTAGTGTCAGGACAAAATCTAGAACATTTAGTGAGCTGAACATGTCACCTATACGCTGATGAAATACTGTATCATATTTTATCGTTAACATTTTCAAATCGTAGAAAATTATGAAAATTGGTGCCCATGAATGATTCAAACTCCGCAGTACTGTAGCGTTAAATGTTTTCGGAAAGAATGAAAGTGTGCACCATAATTTTGGCTTTCTTCTTGGTACTGTATTTATTCAGGAAGTGAGATTTTTGATACTCGAATACAACCTGTAGTATCCAGGGTTGGCCAAAAAAAGGGAACCGATTTTTGACTTGAAATAGCTCAGTAGCAAATTGAGCTGTGGCTATAAAAAAAAACATAATGAAAGCATGTTCAATTCTCTTTCAACTGATATACAATTTTTTTGACCCCAAGTGCCACGGAATGGTCACAAGAACTATTTGAATGAAAACTTTAAAAAAATAAGTAGTCAGGCAACTTTTTCCACTGAGCTGCTGTTCTGGACAGCTGTTTGCATCAATAAAGGAAATGCATGATGCAACAATGTAACCAGCTCACTTCATGCTGTCTTGGAGAGCCTGCACATGTTCCCAAAATTCAGACAGAGGGTTTGAAAAGGGGGAAGGAAATTGGCAAGATAGGGGATGTTGCAGAGCTCCTGTCATGCACGCGTGCTCTGGGCACTGGTCTTGCAGCTGACCCAATGCATGCAATTTTTTTTTCTGTATGACTGGATTGCAGAAATTGATCATAAGTGAAAATTATTAAACTGATTGCTTATGGACTGATCTGTTAGTTCAAGTTGAGTTTCACTCAAAATCAGTTGAACTCAAGGTGAGTTTTAACTGAAACTCAGCTTGAGTAAAACTGAAACTCAGCTTGAGTAAAACTGAAACTCAGCTTGAGTTTAAGTGAAACACACCTTGAGTTAAACTGAAACGCACCTTGAGTTAAACTGAAACTCGACTTGAATCAACAAATCAGTCAAAACAGCATGAGATTCGCTGATTACATTATTACGTCATGCATTTCCTTTATTGATCCAAACAGCTCTCCAGAACAGCAGCTTAGTGGAAAAATGTGCTTGACAACTTTTTTGTTGTTGAAAGTTTTCATTCAAATAGTTCTTGTGACCATTCCGTGGCACTTGGGAAATATACAATTTCATATAATTTGAGAGAGAATTGAACAAGCTTTCACTTGGTGTTTTTTTTCATAGCCACAGCTCAATTTGCTACTGAGCTCTTTCAAGTCAAAAATTGGTTCACTTTTGGTTGGCCCACCCTGTATATAGGCAGCACCGAGCTGAGTTTCCAGGAAATTCTTCGGAATTAAGAGTGCTGCCGATTCCTCTCCTGCATGTTCAAAGAAAACACTTTGCATAATGCTCAAACATTCACTTTGAGGTCCAGCCAAAAGCTGTCTCTCTTCAGCTATCAGTCAAGTCCGCCCCCGATAAAACCGCGCCACACTCTTGGTAACGAACAAAGGCGTCCCCGAGGCGGATATACACAAACACACACACACCCACACGTATATGTTTCGGGAAACGAAAATCCCGAGGGCGGCGGCGGCGGCGGGGGCGGCGGTGGCGGCGGCAACAGCAGCAGCGTTTGGTGCACGTGGTCAGGGTGGTGCGGAGGAACTGAAGGCGAGTGAAATCCGCCCCACTTGCTTTTTCCGACTCTGGAGAATCCCGGCCAAGGGGTTATAATATAAGCAACGCTAGAGGGGGAAACGTAAATTGTTTAGTGCTCCGCGAGGGATCTCCTCTAAACATTTATATTAAGGTTTGTCAACTGTTTGGATTCCGCACGGGCTCCGTTTTATCCCCCCGTGCGCATCGCTGTCTCTTTCTCGCGCGTCGGAACGGCGACCGTTCCTGCGGCTGATGAGGGCCGCCACATTTCCGCGTGATGCCTGCTGCTGCTGCTGCTGTTGCTGCTGCTGGTCGCCGCCGCCGTGGCGACCCTCGTCTTATTATGCCGGGCCTTGCCGAATGTTTAGCTGCTTCTGCAGTTGCTAATATACAGGTGGACGCTCTATACAACGAAATCCGTGAAAAAAAAACCAATACTGAATTACTCTTCTCACTTTCCGAAAATTGAATAAGTTTTCAAGCTGATTCCAGCGCATTTTTCTTCAAAGATTGAAAACAAACGCAATATTACTTTCATCACTTTCTGAGGATATATTAAATAAGTTTGCATGCTGATTCCTGCGCAGATTTATTTAAAGGTAAAAAAAAACGCAATATGACTTTTATCACTTTTTGAGGATTGAAGAAGTTTTCAAGCTGATTACTGCGCAGATTTATTTAAAGTTTAAAAAAAACGCAATATTAATTTCATCACTCTCCGAGAATTGAATAAGTTTGCATGCGGATTACTGCGCAGTTTTCTTCAAAGATTTAAAAAAGAACGTAATATTACTTTCATCACTTTCCGAGGATTTTATAAATTTTCAAGCTGATTACTACACAGATTTATTTAAAGTTAAGAAAAACTGCAATATTACTTTTATCCCTTTCTGAGGATTGACTAAGTTTGCATGCTGATTACTGTGCATTTTTCTTCAAAGATTATAAAAAACGCAATATCACTTTCATCACTTTCCGAGGATTGAATCAGTTTTCAAGCTGATCACTGCGCACTTGTATTCAATGGTTTTGTCACACAAGTCGAATTTATTGCTGCAGTCGGTATTTACCCAGATTAAATAATCGCATTCTCCATAAATTAAAAAGCAATACAGGTGGACTGTCTCCACAAAGAAATTCAAGGGACTAGAAAAAAATCGTTGTAGAGAGAATTTCGTTGTAATAGAGACCACCCATAACGTGAGAATTAAGGGAAACCTCCGGGACCAAATTTTTTTCTGCCGAAAAAATCGTTGTAGGCAAGTTTGCGTGACACCCAACCGCGATTCAATTTTGTTCCATCAATATTCCAACGCGTCAAAATTTCCTGGATTAAATCAAAACTTTTATTTTTGTTCGAAAGGTACTGATCTTGGGGATTTCTTGAAATCGCGTGACCTCCAGGTAATTTTCAGGCGGCCCAAATTGGCTGCTGAGAATGCCCATGAGGCCTACCAACGCGATTAAGAATGAAACTCGAGATTATATAAAAGGCAGCAATTTTTCTTCATTTGCTGGAAAATAGGCCGCAATACTTCACTGGAAACTGGTATGACACTACAATTGGGCCTTCAACAACAAACCTAAATTGTTCCATTATTGGCAGATTTGTCTTTAGTTATCTGAGTCGAAAATTCCCATAGGTTCCCATGGTAGATCAATTACATTTTGTGAAATTGAATTATGGCAAAGTAAACGAGATTAACAGCAAAAGAGAGCAAAGAAAGAAGAGAGAGTCACTGATAATGTACCTATACAAGGTGTAAATAATTTGCAGAAGCGAAATTGGATGCATAAAGATCATTCAATTGTACTTGAAACCTGAATTCCCAATCGTATTTCCATAAAATTTTAGATTTTAATTTTACGCCTTAAATTCCTTCATGTTTTTCTGAAACTTTTTCTTAGCTTGAGCTAGACTAGTTCAACAAGTTAAGTTTTTTGAAGAATATTCTTTAACGAATTGATCATATGATCGTATTAGCTAACCATGAATAAGCTTGAAATATAATTTACTGTATATACAGTATTGTGTTGTACTGTATTCTATCAAAATTTGCGACATTGATCAACAGTACAGTACTGTATATAGTACCTCGTTTTCCAGCATAAGGCCGGGTTGTTCAGATCTACATTTTTGTGCAGTCTGATTTTCTGTATTTTTTTTCCGGAAGCCTCATTCCCGAAATTTCTTGCTTCAAGTTTTGGATTTTCTAGAGAAGGAAAAAGATACACATCTATTTCCAGAAAATTTAATTTAATTTTAAAACATGTTAAGCAAAAATATCAGACCATGCTGAGTACTTGAATACAATCTTGAATATTTTTCCTATATTTATACGTGACAAGTCTCGTAACACGAGATATTTGTCGCGGCGCAAGCATCCAGCCAAAACCGGACCCCAAAACTTGTTACATTTCCGAGGCCTGTGAGCCTGCAAAAATCCCGTTTTTGGGAGACTCACTGAGCCTCACTCAAGGACAAGAAGTGGTCATCACTTCTTGGATTTTGCCTGAATCGGCCAATCCTGAGCCAGGAAGAAATCATGATTTTGCCTGAATCGGCCAATCCTGAGCCAAGAAGAAATCACCTGATTTCTTCCTGACCCAGTCCAAGCACCTGGGTATAAAATCCTTCATTCCTCTTTGAGAGGAGAAGCCAGGAAGTCAGAACCTAGTGTTAAAGGGCCTTTAACCTAAATTAAATTACCTCAATCATTATTCTGAGCTAACCAACTGAATTAATTATTGACTCTGCCATTATATTGAATTAACAGCCAATCAATGAACTGGGCAATGAGAATGAAATCCTCTGAAAAAGAGCTTGAGTTCTTATTCAAAACTTTAATTCTGATGGCTGCACAATTCAATTCCTTTGTCTGGGATCCAATGGACCCATGACAATATTGTATTCAGTATTCTGTGATGTTTATTGTCTGTAGTTAATTGTATCGAAATATTTATTTTGTTTCAGAAAGCCTGGTGATGGAGCTGGAAGCGGGGATGAAGAGGTCAGTGTGGATGTGATTAACGTCGTTACGAATTCAGCGATTTAGATTTTGAAATAATGTCAAGTGTAATCCCAGTGTTTGTTTTTTATTGTTGGTTTGACTCGCGAGTTTTTTTTTTCGTTCGTCTCCACGCGCGATTGCCAATACCGGTCGGCATTTAGTTTTGTGGCGTGCTGCGAACCACATTTTTTTCGAATAAAGTGTTCAATTGTTACGGAAAGGTTGACAACTTTTTTGCCGTCTTTCATGCACGGTTGACACAAAAAAGTAAATTAAAAATGTATACGTATACCCTAATTTATGAATGGTTGATGCTAATATGGTATCTTGAAAACCACATGCTGTATTGGGGATCAATCAGCGAAGAAAGCACATTTACCGGTACATTTCTTCATTTCATGACTTCATAAGTTTCTGACTGCATTGGTATGATCTCCTTTTAGTGAACGAGTAAAAGTACCAGCTGTACTGTACCTGGATATCTGAAGTTCTGTTTGTTTTTTTCAAATACCGTGTTGTACTTCAGTACAGTACGTGTAATTTGGCGTATATACGACATGTCCTGTATTCCTGGTTAACCATTGTATTTTTTTCGAGATTATTCTTTAGCACAAATCACGTCTATTTAAAGAAGTTTTGTTTCCTCGTATATACTGAAGGATCTCGGCTTTGTCCACGGAAAACCTCCGTTCTCTCTCATACTGAGACAACGCAGAGCTGCCTTTCGGTGTTCTATTTTGTGATCCGTGCGCGGAGTAGGCCGCGGACTCAGTAAAAGATCTATTGCTCCCCGGTAACATCTGCTTTCGGAGCCCCGCTGCGCCCGTTTAGCGCTGAACGATGTCGTTTGACGGGCAGGCCGGCGAGGAATCCATTAAAGTCGGCGCCACCCAAGGTGTAGACAAGCTGCTTCTGCACGGAATTCGGCGAGGGGTGGGGGCGGCGGAAAATCCGAGACGCAAAATATCTCGGGAGTATTTTCTCTACCGTCCTTAAAAAAAAAAAAAAAAACCCGGTTGTTCTTGGAGTAATTAGCCGCTCGCTTTCCATCCTGCATATATACATGCGCGAAGGTGGTTTGTCTCCATATCCATGATCCTCCACGCCGGGGAATTTTCGTACTGTGGAATCTGGCAGAAACGACGATCCCGCTGAGCGGCCAGCATGGACAAAATTTTCGAGACAGGAAATTGGTATGTTTATGTCCTTCGAACACCGATTTTTATCTATACAGGAATGCAAGCTGTGAACATTTAATAAAATGGAGCTCGCTGATGTTTGCTGTACTCCTCAATATTTTTCGATGTACTTTAATATTTAGTCGCATTATAAGAAAGTACTGCATCTTAATCCCCACGTAGTCTATGAAATCTTTAAATTGTCCCATCCGCTGCTGTCAAGTTCGTGTATTTTTTATTGCTTGGGAGAACCTTAAAATCGCTTATTATTCAAGAGAAAAATAAACAAAGGAAAAATGGTTGGCGGTAGACCGTAGACGTTTGAGCGATGGGACTGCATCTTCAGAACGTTTTTATTTCAATTGTATACTGTATATATTATATTATATTGTGTGTCGGAGTTTGAATGATCCAGAAATGCCATGAATAAAGAACAAAGCACATGTCATGGTCACTAGATTATCTCCGAATTTGAATCCACATGCTTCTGTATTTTTGCCTTATTACAGCCTTTTGGTTTGACAAAAGGACTCTTTTTGGTAATAGTATAGTAATATATGATCTCTCAAAAGAATGTTTCGTGAACAGATGTTCAAGTTCGTCCAGGATGCAGAATTAAAACTTTCTCTGTCATAGCTATACGGAAGAATGTTTTCAATTTTATGCTCCTCAGTCCTGAGCTATTGAAAGCTGATGCAAGGCAAGTTACCAATCACAGAAACCAGATATGTAGACAGAATGATTCTGAGTTGCTTTCAAATTCGGATTTAAAAGAAAATTTCGTGAAGTACGTGTTCTATGATGATAGACAGCAGTAATATCATGACTGTCTATCCTATGACTATGCTGGAATTGACTTCCAAAAAGAATCAAGTTAGCCTGGCTGACCTGTAGTGTATATGTGGTACCTTCCAAAGATTAAGCAAGTAGTTCACTGAATTTCAGTTTTGCGCGACGTTGAAAATAAATACGGCATGCCTTCAACTCATACATAACACTCGCTTTAATTAAATCACCAGCATGAGTCCCATTCACTCTCGAATTGTGAACATGAATATTTTTTCTACGACCGAGTCACGAGCTTTCGGAAGAAATAACAAAAAACGCAAAAAACGGGGATCAAAAATCAAAATACGTGGTCAAGAGGACCAACATTCTAACTTGACGCTTCACATCCAGTCTTTCCGTGTTCTAGGAGAAGAGAACGCAAGAAAAGCGATATCCAAATCGAACGTCCCATCAACATCAGCAGGTATAGACTAAGCAAACCGATTTGACACGAATTTAAGAATGGACGAGAAACCGGAGGGGAAGATTAAACTTGCGCAATACACGAAGCGGTGCATTCCAACACGAATAAAAAATCGTTCTCGCAGTTATTCCAAACGCTGTAAAAAAAGGAAGGCGACGCTTCACCGCAACAACAATCAATCATCTGAAAACAATTAATATCCTGAAGCCTTCAGTCAGTTCCGAGTTCGCAAACTGCCTCACCGTAATTCGGAAAAAAAAGAAGAAACGAACACGCAAAGCGGCGAGTCAAACTTTCTTCTATCACAGAAAAAATGCGCATGAATGAAAAAAATATGGCTTTCCAGGGCATGCAATCTGCTGCGTTTGCTAATTCTAAACAGAGAACACCTTTTCGGGGAACGGGGGAGACGAAGCAGTCGAGACATTCATGCTACGATGAGAAGTCGGAACGCTCAAATGGCACAACGAATAAAAAGCGCAAGTTTCTTTCTCCCCACCCTAGCAAGACACACGCACCATGCTCATCACGCCTTGATCTCCCACACCATGATGTTCGCATCGCGGTAATTCGACATCGGGGCGCAAGATGGATGCTTGCCGGTTGTGGCGTTCTTGTCGCACTTGTCCAAAGTTCCTCCATTCCCGGAAGACCTCCTAATGTTCACGTATCCTCTTCCACCAGTTATAGCGATCAGCGTCCGACTCTGTTCGCACGGGATCGAGATGTGAATGGATCTTGACGATTTCCCACTGGAAGGTGTGCTTGCATTGAAGGAAGGCATTCTGGACACTGAGGGCATTGCGAGGCTCGCATTATCCGCGTCTGAGTTTGAGTTGGACGAGGAAGAACTCGCAGTTGTGTGCGAGGAGTTTTTGGAGTCCATGGACCAATTGGACAAGTCCAGGGAACGGGGTCTTCCCGTTTTCATCTGCAAACGACGGTCCAGGGTGTTGATGCGATGCGGCACAACAGACAAGTCCGGATCTGATCGCCGCATAGTCTCATAAACGGGATCTACGATCCCATGTTCATCCTCATAATCCCGGATATTCATCAGCTCGCCATAGAGTCCGTACACGTCGCAATTATCCAGGGCATTGCCTACGGTCAGCAGACCGAGTCCCCGGGGAAGAGTTTTCGAAGCACGACGATTGTGTGCATCTTTTCCGTGGCCCGGGAACCTGCGTCTCAAAGCTACTGGGCTCATTCCACTCAATTTTGAACGAGCCGAGCTATTCCGACGAGGGGTAAGATTCCCGTCTGAATCCTGCTTGTGCAAACTCGTCTTGTTCCTGCAACGAACGACATCTAGTTTTAGTACGTTGAACTTTCTCGCAAAGCATTAGCGCAACCGAAACGCAGCTGCGGTGCAGGGGGAATGCTTCAAGTTTTCTTCAACCCTCAGTCATGAAAATTCTTTTTAAAAAAATTGTTCTCAAAAATTTTCGAACGACTGTGCCATCGATGAAAAGACCGAGTCAATGTGTTTAATTATACAGTATTTGGATTTCTCAGTCCTCAAAAAACTTCTCGCTGAACAATTGACGTTGCAGGACAACCTCCTCTTTTAGCATCACTATAGCACAAAGTTTGACAAATTTTCATCGAAAAATGACGATCAGATCTACAACATGAAGAATCGCCAAGACGATTTTTCAAGTAAATGAGAAATTCATAAGAATAACTAGGACTGCTTCCAAACTCAAAAATTATACAAGTACGGCAGGTAAAAAAAAAACCTATACACCATCCCGCGTTATCTCTCCATTTCAATCATAGCAAGGGAAAATTGAGAACATCGTCGAAATATGATCAAAAGTACTACACGAGTTTAAGAAGTATACCCCCATAATGCCCCAATTCCATCTATACAAGGAAAGCAGAAAACATGCAGACCAGAATTTTATCACACCATCGAATAACCGTGTTTCCCCGAAATAAATGCACAGTAACTAACCCAGGGCTCTTCTCATCTTCGTTTTCTTCGTGAATGACAGAACTCGAGCTATCTCCGCTTCTGACGTCCGACAAATTCAAGGATGGTGGAGCATAGCTTTGAAGAGGAAGCAAAAATGTCACCGGACCACTGTGGGAATGGTAGGAGATGTTCGCTCTGCCGCTGATGATAGGAATACCCTCCAGTCTTGGCAAAGGAATTGTCAGGGCCATGCCAACGTTCGTTCCAATCCATAATAATCCCCGACAAGCCATCAAGGCAGTTACGTGAATCTGCTGTAAACGATCAAAAACTTGAATCAACTCAAGAACCTATTGTCATTTGGAACACCAAGATATTGACTACATGTCAACTAAAAGTTGTATGAAACGTGACGAGGATTTCCATGCCCGACGAACCTCTCTTTGTTGGTCACGAGAACAGTCAGTGCCGAGGATTCTCGCGACGTTGGAAGCGACGTTGATGTCTTGCAGATGCTTGAAGGTTTCTGTGTGGTACAGACAAATGGTGGGCGAGCCCTTCATCGAAATCCAGAGTCCAATTCCAGAATGAGCCATGAGATTTACGCGTCCTCCGCATTCTTCGTGCTGGGCACTGAAGCTTTTCTGAAATTCAGAGATTTAGGAAATCAAATCACGAATATATTGCTGACATGAACACATATATGAACAGAGCGTGAGTAAATATATCGGGCCTTTTCCACCGGAAAATCTGAATGATGTTTTTCCATCAAAATTGTTGCACAAATATAAGGTGTTGGTGTCTCGATTCTCACCGTAATATCCATCGAGAGGCAATCCACGACGGCGACAGTGCGATCACAAGCGACATACATGCAAGCAGAAAGCGGCAAAAGTGCAGAAATGGGTCCACTCTCGTTCAAAGCGATCGTGTGCGGGTCCTTCAACAGCCACTCGCCTCCAGCCATTCCAGGATGTAGACCTTCCCAGTCTCGACGATACGCTAAAATCGTCGCATTCGCCAGCCCCACCCAAACAATGTCGTAATGGTATTTGATGCAGGTCACTGGTGCCGGCACGTTCACCACACCGACTTCATTCATTCGTTCCGGTTCCGCAGCCGAAAATAGGAGTATTCTGCAATTAAAAAAATATATTATAAAATCATGGCGTATCCAAGGAAGAAATCGAATCTTCAACGCCCGAATGTGACTTTGACTTTTAAATTTTTACATAGATTTCGCGACAAGTTTTCCTTTCTTGTTCGGTTCAACTTGGGGTACCTTAAATTTTACTCATACAGCAGTATAGTTCTGAGGTAGTTCAGGTCCTGTCAAGTTTCATTGGAATTTTCGAACCATGTTGAGCTTATTTTTCCTTATTCCCTACCTTCGCCATATCACAGGAAATACCTGGCATTGAGCTGGAAATGCTCATTTTACGTTCACTTTTCCAAGAACAAACGATATTTCTTAAACTGGCTTTTCATTTCACTAAAATTTCTTCGAGTTTATTTTTGTTATCATGTAAACGAAGAAAACATCCGAGTTAGTCATTCAAGTGACATCTGCCTCATATACTCTAGGAAACAAAGTCTGCAAATTGAAGTCATAAAATGAGTGAACATTTAAATCCAATTTCGGAGGCTCTGGATAAACACCAACTTAAACGCAAAACGAATGAAGAACTTGGATTCCAAAAACAGCTCTGATCATTGTTCACATGATCTCCATGAAACACTGAATGGCTTTCTTACGTTCATCAAGCATAGGTATGTTCAGAATATAGTCCAGCTCACGCGCAGACGAACGACTTTAGGTTTTTAAGAATTAATTTATTGTAAATGAAAAAGGACTAACTTCCTGCTTTCCAACCCCAACCAGACAAGCGGCCCACGGAGCCCGGAATCGAGTGCGAAGCCTGGTACGTGTTCCACAGCGGTGACACGAACTTCCTGAAGATCGTGCACAAGCATGGACCGAAGCAGCGGTCCTGCGTCGGCCGACTGATGCGCAAATAGTGACAGATGCGTCGACACGCCATCACTGGCCGCAACCCAGAGGTAACTAGCTTGTATCACGCGTCCGCCTTGCTTCTTCAGCTGCGGCACTGAGTAGTAACAACCACATCGTACCTGGAAAAAAGAGGAGGGATTAATTCACAATTCCGCAGCTTATTCTCTTTTACAGGAAAACGACAAGAAATGTATTATGACTTAGAAAATATCGATATGACCAACGCAGAAATCTCAATATGCCACAGCATGACGATAAAGCGCTCTTATTCTCTTTTGCGCGGGGAAGAGTGATCGTTAATTATTCCGGGATACGTCAATTTTCTTGAAAAATATGACTAGATCGTTCATATATCAACTCAAGATTAAAACTAGCCATAATTTTCAGAAGATGCTTTCCATCAAGATCGGCTAAAACGGAGCAAAACACCTTGTTCCTGAATCGTAAATTTACCCTGAGCTTTCGAATTATGAAGACAGACTCATTATGCAAGGCGTAAAAGGTTTTCAATTTATATCTTCTGAAAGGACTTTTTTTTTTTTTGGGAAATCAGTCGTAAACAAATATGGACGCTGTCACTCGTCTTTTGAACGATGACATTTCCAGGGAAGCATTCGCACATCAAGTAGTTCCTGTTTGTTTGAAGTTGCAAATTCGATAAAAAAAAAAATAAAATACAGTATTTCAATCTATGTTTATTCATACAAAAATAGCATTTATAGCACGTATAGAATTTTAAAGAACTTCAATCACAAATTTATCATTTTGCTATAGAAGCGCTCAAAATAAAGTTTACCGTAACTATGGTTCGAACTTATTTCAGGGATACTCAATTTCGAGGAATCACAAAAAGTTCCAGTCTTTTCTCACCTCTGTTTGATGCTGAGAGGCGTAAGTGGTTAGAGATTTCACGAAGAGAGGAAGCCTGGCAGCAGGCCTTCGTTGCTCTTGTTGAGGAATGTCCCAAGCGGGAGAATTGTTCGAATCTAGTGCCAACTGAGCCAGTCTCAAGTCTGAAACATCATAATTCCCATTATATAATTGCACAGCTATTTTCATAGAAAAAATGAATAAATTATTTATTGAAATGGTTAAGACACTAACCGACTATCCAGTCCTTCTTGACAGTAGGATTATCTGTCTGGAAGGTGAATTGCTCATCTTTCGGCCCTGAATAGCCCATAGTGCCGGTTTTGGAGCTACCACTCTTAATGGAAAACTGCAAGCAGCACGAATCCACCCAGGCAATTTCCTCGTCCTTCTGCTGAATTGATTGCTGAATGGATGACCTGATCGTTTGGATTGAATCCACATTCAATCCCTAGAAGAAAATTAAGACGGAGAAAAAGCAAAAATTTTTACACCGTTTCCCCCAAAAATAGCCGAAAATGTTCGCAAACACTCACCCCGTAATTCCCCTTCAACTGGGAAATGAAATCGGATATTCTGCGCAATAGTTCGTAATCGTGCATCAAATCGCTCATTTCTTGGCACAAGCTCTCTGCTCCTCCACTGGACTCGCTCTTATCGCTTTTGAGACTGCCGTTCTTGTTCAGACCGGCCGGAAGAATGCGGCTCAGCGTGGGCGATGTACTCGTGTCTTGAACCTTCGAACATCAATAACAATAACTCAATTCGCTGCATCACGACGGACCGGAATGAATCTATCAAGCCATGGTTGATAACGTGTTGGGAAGGGGCATTACTCTGAATTTACGGCCGATTCCGGCTCTGGAGAATGGAGTTCCTCCGGAATTAAATTCGAGCCAGATGGCAGAGATGTGCGACACACGTGCTTAAATTCACGAAGGCACTATAAACTTTCTGACCTCGCGCCGCAGGTATTTCCACACTTGGGCGAATGAAAAAGCCATAGATTTCGAGGCAAGACAATAATTTTTCAGCCTTTCAATCAGACGGGATTCCAACAAGAAATTGCACATTCTCCACAAGACGACAGAAACTCTACTAGTCTACTGCATGTAGGATAAACTAAAAAGTCTAGCAATTTGTTCTTTAATGGGAAGAGCTCGGATCGGAAAATTTGCTTTGCTATGAGGAACTACAGAGAAGTCTCAAATTAATTGTATTCCTCTGGAAAGCAGTAGGATAGCAACTGCGGGCACACAATTTTGAATCTGAAAGAAAAAATGAACCAGAATTACCAGACGCTTTCTGACATTTGAACTTAAAAATGGCACGTCCTGGGAATGAACAGAAATCATCCATCAAAATGGTCCTCTAAGGAAGAAGTATGCTTTATTCACTCAATAATTCGACAGACTATAGTTTGCTTCAAAATTAACCAGAAATTATTTTGTAAAAGAAGGACCAAAACAAGCCCAGATCTCAAACAAAAATATTGACTGTGCCTCTTCTAACACGAAGGATTTCGGTCTAAAATTGCGGAAAAGGTTCGGACTTCCATTAAATACACATTTCAATTTAAAGAAAGTTACAAGCAATCTGGTAACCCCTCGGTCACTTCAAATACAATTTAATGTTCATTCAGAGTCCTTCGAGTAGCCCATCGAGTAACGTTCGGCCAAAATCCATCATAGACTTAAAAGAAAAATAAAACGACGCTGATTAGAACAGCGATATTTGAGGTCATCTTCGGAATAAGATCCAACACGTACCTCCACGTCATTCACCGGAACAGCCCACTTGAGCGAGAGCCTTTCATTGTTGTTGAAGTCGCCGGCCTGCTTCGGCCCAGTGGAAACACAGACAAGCAGGTCATTGAGTAAATAAAGCCTTCTGGGCTTCGTCTTCGTCACCAGTCCCACGTTGTTGAATTCCTGCGCATAAAGCGAGAATATATTGAGTTTCCAACATCGTTCTTACGTGATCCGAACCGTAACGCGAAGTCCAATCAACAGAGCCACGAGGCAACATTAGATTCGATTTTCGTTGGTGAACTTTATACAGTACAAAGCTTCATTCAGTAGAGGATAGTTTATGCTCGAGATAGTATGAGTAATCTTGCATTTGTATGCAGAGCGAATTTCCTCAATGAAGAGTTTCTCATAGATCATCCGATGATGGATTTTCTCGAGCATTGAGAAAGAGTTTGCTAATTAATTTTACAGTATTTGCGGAATGAACCAATATTATACGATCCATTTTTCTCCGCATGATAACAATCAATGATGTTTCCAAATAAGAATAAAAAAAATCACGAGGAAAGGAAGGCACATTATAAAAATGCAACGTGGGTAATATTGATCGATATAATTTAAGAAGTGAGTTGGTTTTCTTCAACTGCTTTCCTGCAGCAGAACTAGAGAAGACAATCACGCGAATTTTCAGACCAAATTTTGATGATAGGAAAAAAGTTAATTAAAAAAGATAGGATGTTCGATTTGGATTAATTTAGTGACATTAATTTATTGATCATCAATTTATTGACATGATATTCCCACCATTCCCGCGAGGCTCCACGTGAATCAGCCTGGATAATCAAGTAAAGAGAATTTAAAAAATAAAACGTCGATTAAATAATAAAAATGCCACTCAGAGGGAAATTACGTGGCTGCTCGAATTATAATTACTGCCCTCAGGTCGCTTCATATACACTCAGAAAATTAAAACTTGGGAACAGATAATTGAGAATTTCACGTCGAGAACCGCATTTGTCTTTCTCGTTTGAAAGGTCTGTAATGTTTTTTTCCGCCCGGGAACTTCTAGGAATTCCAATGAAAAAAATATATATACAGTATATATATTTCGTTTACCAGCTGCGTCATGTTGTCCTCGCGCAAAAGGAACCTTCCCTGGTTCCCGGATTGCGGCCAGGGCGACGGAAGCGCCTTCAGGGCCGCCACCAGTTTGGAGCCCTGCAGGTGCCGCATGGTCTCGCGGAAGGCTGCTAGCTGCTCAGTTTCTCTCTTTCTTTCGTTCAGCAAGTCGGCCAGGCTCTCCAGCTGGGTCAACGCGAGCTGCAAAGAGTGGCGGTCCGGGTGGCCCTGTGGGGTGTACTTCAGGAGATCCTGTAACCAACGAAAGAAAAACCCCGAAATCCCGAGTTAAGCAACGATTGCTGAACACGGTTGATGTTGTACTGTACTGTATATGCAAGGGTATACAAGGCGGATTGCTTCAAACTTCGCTGTAAATCCTGGAAGAAAACAGTTGAAACGAACTGACCCGCCTAATTAATCAGCCTCGAGCATGACCCTTTTGACTTGGGAAAATAGTGCAATAAAAAACAAAATTTGGCGCGACATTTGGGACATGAAAGAAATAGAGTATTCTGCTGTCACCAGAATTATCCCGCATCCTGTTGAAAAATTGCACGACAGTTTCGAAGAAATTCTCACAAAATACCATGATAATTTGGAATAGTTTTGTCGAACACTTTGTGAATCGTCGAAAAAATACTGTATAGTTCGCAGATCTAGAACAACTCTTGTAAGAAAGCTCACAATAACTTATTCTTCAGGGCAATTTATTTCTTCAAATGCCATCACCGGTCTGGTTGAACCAGTTCAACCATTGTAAAATTCGCAAGACAATAGATCGACTTACCGTATTAATTTTTTTCATCAAGATAGCTCAAATCATTATACAGAGACACAATAGCCTAATTAGCGTCTTATTTTTTGGTTCATCACATAATTCTCGTAATATCTGCGTTAATTTTTATTCTACATTACCACATTCCATCCAACCATGAACTTGTGAAAGAGCAAGAATGGTGATGCGTTGCCCGCATTGCAGTGTACAGTATATATATTTTTAAATCTTGTGAGGTTTACAACATGGTTATCTACTATTCTATACTTCATTGCATAGCTTCCTTAAACTTTGGTTGATCACAGGCTAAAATATCATCCGACGATGTTTACATACATCAAGAGATGATCAAGCGGTTCGAATACCGATCGATCTTCCGTTCATTTTCTCGCTGAATAGAATAACAATTATCGTACCTGCAGCTGTAGGATGAACTGCGGAAACCGCTGCACGGGTTTCACCATCAGGCCAAAAAAGGAAAGTCTGTCGGTCGACGTGATCTGCTTGACCTTGAGAAAGTCTGCAAAGGCGGATTTCCGCTTGGACTCCAATTTCGCCATGTCCATCGCAGCCGTGAAGTTGTTGATGAACTCGGAGTACATGTCTAACACGATGGCGCGGGAAAAGGAAGCCACAAAAACGTCGCCGATCCGCTCATCCCGGTCCCAGTTCCTCACACACTCCGCCAGTTCGATCCGAAACAGCGTGTGTATTTGCAAAATTTCCGGGATGCGGAAAAAAAGGGATTGGACCTTGTTTGTGCTCATGATTGGCGGATTGCTCTCTTCCAACGCTTTCTTGTAATCCTGCAATCACCCCCCGCGAGATGAAAAAAATTGTGTCAATAAAAGTCGACAGCGGGTCAAAATTCTTTCTGGATCATTCACACCTTGGCAAATACACACAACAAGAGGAAGGCAATTAACACATCTATTTTATCCTCAAGCTTCACACGCCAACGGTCTCATGAATGTTTTTCGCAACCGAAATAAATTAAACAACTACTTCAAACATTCCTTTGAATCACTTTTTTCATCTTCAAAAGAAGCACCTCAGTCCGAGTTGTAAGACAAATCTCCGGCACACTTTAAAAAACATTTTCTGAGGTAAACCCTAGTGGCAAAAAAGGCTGATTTATTTTCGTCCGAGAAACGAAGCCGCTGCACGAAATCAATACTGGCTTCGAAACACAGGTTTAAAATGGCTTCATCTTTGGTACTCAAACACACAATCCAGGGAATGACACTTAGCTGCACTCTACGTCGAGTTCTGGTGGGCTACTCTTGTAAGATACTGCAGAAGTAAAAAAAATTAAAAAAAAGAATTCCAGAATCTGACGCGAAACCAGGTTTAACCGTGTGTCTTTTCTTTCCCAAAAGAGAAAACTTTTTTTCAAGTGCACTCCGAATAACTGAAAGCAACCAGGCCGAACCTAAAATAGTCCAATATGGCTCAATCAAGCATAGATAGAGTTGTTTAGAATGCAGACAGACAAAATCTTTCATTATGATGAAATAAATCATGAGTGCGATTGGAAAGTAAATCAAGTCTAATAGTAAGTGAACATAGTAAAAACGCATTTTTAAAGACAAATAGTTCACCAGGAGGAGAAAAAAAATAGCATGAGTTAAAATAATTTCATTAGGTTTTGACTTGAGACATGCTTGTTAAATCTTAAGCAATTTAAATCACGAACGGCTCATTGAATTCCTCTCTTCATCGGAGTTCTCTTGTTCATGGATTTTAAGCAAACTGCAAATACAGTAAATCAAAGCATTTTTATTTTATTTTTTTCAATTTTGGAGATTTTCAAACTTACGTGTTTTCTCTGGAAGTGGTTGTTGAAACGAATAAAACGCAATTGTGCCATGCAGTAAGAAAAAATATTCCATCATCATCATCGCCAAGGTGTGAGGCTCGGCAAAAATCGCCACAATAGGGGGCAATGTAAACAATCGCGCTTTTTTTTCGCAATCCCTTTCGCCCCAATTAGGCTCCCACCTTGACTAGTCGCTGGACGGCGCTGACGTAAGAGTTCTCGCTCTGCACAATGGAGTTGATGATGTGGCGGCGCTTGACCTGCTCCGCCGTGAGTCCCGCGGGCTGAGGCGGCAGACTCGGCGGCTGCTGTCGCTGAAACCCGGCCACATTCATGAAGCTGTCGGTCGAGTCGCCGGCGCCTCCGCCACCACCACCACCACCACCGCCGCCGCCCCGCCCGGCATACGCCAGGCTGCAATCAAAGCTGCCCGGCGAAGACAGCTTCTTTGACATGCGGAACTTGTCGCGCTCAAGCGACGGCGCCTGATGCTCGCGGCGCCACGAGAACCAACGCGTGAACCGGCTGCCCGACGCTGTTAGCGTGGACTGGGCCGACGCGTCGCCGCTGTTGTGGTAGAGTGGCTCGCAGCCGCCGTTGTTGGTGCTCGAGGCGGGGGTGGATGGGGCGACGGATTCGCTGATGACGGTCTGGGGGATGCCCGCGCCACAGGTACTGTTGCTCGCGCTCACCTTCTTCTTCTTTTCCTCCTTCCACTTGTTCTTCTTGGACTTGGACTTCAAGATTCGCACTCTGAACGAGTCTTGCCTGCAGACGAAGAAAATAGAATGATAATCTCCATCATGAACGACTGCATCTTTTGAAATTATTATTTTTTTGGGCTCGTCACGCCAAAATCAACACTTCATGAGAATAAATAAAAATCGTCAATTAAAGTTGGTTGACTTGAATGACCAACTCGAATCTTGACTGAACAGTTCTTATATAAATCACCCTGGCCAAGTAGTGTACAGGCTGAATCCCCTATAATAATAAGATAATTTCTCTTATTCTCCATTTTTATTTCAAAGATAGGTATAAGGTCGCTATTGAAATAAAAATGGAGAATAAGATAAATAGGAAACAATTTCTCTTGTGAGAATTTCAAAAATGTCTGCAACCGCCAGCCAAATATTATCCTCCTGACGAAGTTCAGGCGTGACATTCACGAGAGTAAAACCCGATGCCTGGTGCGTTTCCCCCCAAAACATTTCGAAATGAATTTAGATGAAATTCAAACTCTCCCAAACGCCACCACTTTTTATTTAGCTAACTTGAAAATTATCAAGGAGGAAGACTTAATAAGCAACCAGGACATGAAGGTTACCTCACGTGAATTATTTTGCAATTAAAAAAAAAAAACCTCAAGTTGATTCGCCCGCCGGTCTTTTAAACCAAGTTCCGCAAGCAACTTTTTTTTTAAAGAAATCAGCTTATTCGTAGTGTGACTCAAAATTGAATTTAAAAATATTTTAATACTGCAAAATGATTAGAATTTTTCGATTATAGTCATCGTTTTTATTTTTTCCTTCCCCATATTGTTCCGCTGTATTTCGAACTCGCGTGATTCCATATTCTGCCGTTTGAACAGGAAGACGGGGAAGGAAAATGCAGAGGCTGAAGATAAATCTTGGGTAAACTGGGGCAAAGTGGGAATCCGAGCAAAAATAAATTCGCGCGTGGTTCTCAAATGACTGTGCCAGGAGCTAAAAATCACATTGCGAGAAGAATCCCTCTGGTTGACCCAATTTGCTAGCAAGTAAGCAAACCCCGACGAATCCCATGAAGCATTTTCTTGGGGAGAGATCAAAGCGAGCAACCGAGATCTCGGTTCTTCCTATCGGGCACTTCGGGGAGGCTATAGCGAAGTGGATTCTCGATTTTTTATTTTTATTCAGAACAGACGGGTGTTTTCTTCTTTGGTCAGGGAACACTAGAAAAAGTTTTCGAATAACAGAAGAAAATGAACTTCGCATTTCGTAAATTAGATGACACGAAAAATGAAAAAAAAGACGAGAACCGTCAGCGTCAAATCGCCGTAGTTCGTTTTTAAACAAAACAAAAAAATCATTGAAAAGGTCCAGGAGCATCGATTCAAAAAGCTCACATTCCGGGAATTCGGAATTCCCGGCATTTATCATTTTACAGCTTATGAACTCCAATTGCTTAAGATAAATTGTCAACGAGTCCATAATTTCTGAGCGCTGTTGTACTTTCGAGATAGTAAAAGGGAATTTCATACGCAAGTAGGACATGCTAGGATAATTTTTATTCCTGAAGATCGCTCAACTTTTTTTTCATTACCACGAATGTCGGAGATCAATGCAAGATTTTCAGAGTTGAGATTTGCTACAAGGTCCAATGCAATGCAATCAAGCGTCATAAAAACTCAAGCCATTAATAGTTCGGTAGCTAATTTAAAATCTGCAATTTGAAGAAGAAGAAATCGCCAAAATCGGAACTTCCAGAATGCTTCGAGATCCTGATTCAGAATACTGAAAACTAAATTGAAACCAGTAGAGACATTGAAAAAAAACAAACAAACAATTGACTATCAAAAGTCTATTACAACTGCTCCAGAAATCGAAGATTATTCTAATGAAAATTCGATAAAGAAATGCCACATCGATTTCACAAGCTCTCAACAGGGGAAAAAAAAAAACCACGTCGCGATTTCGTGACGGTCATTTCCCAACGTGCACGTGTAAAGCTGACAAAAGGAAGCGTCTTTTCACACAAATAAATCCCCGCGTCATTGGCTTTAATACACGCGTGGCAGAATTAAAACCTAAGCACACGCGCTGAACAAACTTCAACACGTGCGTGACACTCATCGCCTCGTGACTGCAAGAAAGTCAATTAGCTGGAAAAAAAAGTTAGCCCGAATTGTCCCACGTAAGGAAAGTATGTCTGCCCATTTTTTTCCCCTCTGGAAAATAAAACCCCGAGGAAAAAAAAGCGTAATATAAGCAACTAAACATACTTCGTGTACAGCCAGCCGGTCAGTCAGTCAATCTAACTTCGGTTTCCTCGGAGGGCTTACAAGAGACAACGGTTCATCAGGTGAATAAGTTCCGATTTTCAATAGCTTCGAACTAGCAGAAGCCCGAGGAGGGAAATTATCGCAGAGCTTTAAATGACCCCGCGTCTTTGGGATTATTAAAAGGCTCAGCGCATTTTGAACACCGATCTTTGCGGGCAACCTTGTAATTATCTCATCGCCGAGAAAGGGTTTCAAACGGAGGCACCGGACAATTAAGTCTTCCCCTTCGCATAACCGATCCACCAGACTCGGATTGAAGCAGTTTAAAACGTTCTCTGACTCGTGATGAAGCTACAATGCGGACAAGGTATTTTAGACTTGAGAGGACCCTTCAACACGTAGATATAAATCGGAAGTTTATATCAGAATACGCAAAGAATTTTCCAAAGGTCTTGCGAATTTCAAAAAAAAAAACTGGATTTGCCACATAGCGACTTATCTTTAGCAGCTTATTTTGATTTACTAAACATATTCAAACCCGTCACCAGCAAATGAACAAGAGGAACAAGCAAAACATTTGAAGTGGTGGGAAAATTTTGGCAAGAAAGCGGCACATGGGATCATTTTTGACGCCTGACTTTTCAATCGTTCGCTTCAAGCGCAAAAATCACTTTTTATTTTGAAAAATGAAGCAACACATCTTTTGAATGTTTACAGAAGTGCCTTCAGATGTCGTGCGGCGATTATTGAAGCACCGATTTTCTCTAAATTGCGCTTAAACCAAGGCTAGTGAGGATAAACGTTGCAGATTTTGAGGAAAAAAGATTGAATAATATTCGACATATTGTTCCGTCATTAGAGGTACAATTTGTTAAGAATCTCATAGTGATTCAGAGGATCCTAAAGACCCGATACACGGAGATCTAAAATTTTGAAAAAGTCTCCTCGGCGATTCCAAAAGGTTTCTCATTTCCAATTGCTCAAAAAGGGCGTAAACATCGTCAGAGTCGAAAAAGAATTGACTCCGGACCGTCAACAATTTTTGTTTGCTTCAAGTGGGCATTTGTGTGCGACTTGGAAGATTTTCGAGAGATCCCTAGCATCTGTCAAAAATTGTTCACGAATACATTTGATATGAAATGAGCGGAGCACAGAAGCTTCGTAAGAGAAAAAAAAAAGTTCCCACCGAAACCTCAACCACCATGATCCCATGCGTCGGCTTCTCCAAGGTTTTGTTTTTCTTCAAAGAATTAGTTCTAAGAGAAATCCAAGTTGGTTCTTGATGCTCCCAGCACTTCGTAAAATGGGTTTCAGAGGTAGGGGAGTACCCATAAGATCAATGTATCCGCGAGTGCGACAGACGTGAATAAATCATGACCGCAACCGTATCTCTAACGGCTCTTCACAGGCTTCTATCGCCTTCGATCTTCTCTATAGAGACCACAACTCGAAACTTTCCCACACACACAGAAAAAAAAAGGCACAGAGCCCAGCTCTCCAAATTTCCCCCCTCCTGCTCGTTTCTTCTGCAGTTTCCTGTAGGGGCCGTGCTTCGAAAATAGCGGCGGAGGAGTTGAATTCGAAATTCGAGCCGTTGTGCGGACATCACTTGTTCCTTTTATACAGTATATGCATTTCTGACGAGTCATTGCGGATAGTTCTGGACTAGTCATCGATTATGTTTTTCTGCATTTTTTTTTACTATATTCTTCCAGACTCCGGGTGCACAGAGTATTTGACTTCCGTCCTTCTTGACGTATTCCGTTTCCGCGTAGGGAAACTCTATTTCGCTTTCTCGGCCGACCAACGCTTCCTCAAACAAGGTTCACCTTCTACTTTCCATACCGAGGCTTGGGAAAAGCTTCCGTCGGTCACTGGCGAAAAGGAAAAAAAAATCTTCTTGGTCCGAATAATTCAACTTTTCAAACAAACAGCTCTTCTTGGGGCTCTCATTAATTTGCGTGGGAGTTTTCCTCAGTTCTTTCATGTGCATCGAAAACATCATTCTGAAATTTCCGCCATCGATTGCATCTAGCTTCCGTTGAAATTTTTTTTTTCTTCAGTAGGAAGGAACAGTTTGTTTGCTATTTTTAGTCGATAGAAAATAAAAGCAGAATGAAGACTTGACCGCGCACAAATTTTCATATGACCAGAGGAAAAACGGCGGACAATGCAATTTCAATTCGCCCCACTATCTTCCCTCAAGACGAGCTCTAATCAGGTCTTCGATCCACGTTATCAGGTATAATTTAAATATCAGACTTATATACTCTATGTGAAGAGAAGCGAATACTTGACGATTTTTGAATATAAATTCAATACTTGTATGTTGGTGATATTGCGTGATTTCATGGTTGAAGAGTATTTTAAACCTCGTTTTAATTTCTAAAAATTCCCATTATCCATAAGAACGAAACCAAATCCGAATCATCGAAGTTTTCTGCTCTTGTGCATGTATTACCAATGCATTTTTTTTATGAAATATCGCCGAGATTCCCGGCCGACAAGAGTTCAGCAGTCTTTCTTTCTATCCATCCACCAAAAACCGAGAAATTCGTACCACCAAGTGACAGGTTTACTTATTACACGCAGTTCAACAATCCATCAAGCGAACAGGAGTGAGAACCAGCAGGAAGCAAATAAAACAACATATGCGGCTCTTCCGAATTCTCTGGACAGGTAAGCGAAATACACATGGCCGAAGGATAATTTTTCAAAAGAAAATATCTTCCTCGGAAGCTAACATAGTTAAATAAGCAGCTGACGTAACTGAAAAAAAAGAACGTGGGCGTTTGTGTGGTTCCACGCATCGTTAAAATGAAGGCCGCTGGATCCGTGAGAAAAACGTTTTAGACCGAACTCAAATATCTCAATGCATCGTTGCTCGCGTTGCGGAAGCCGCCGTCATTTTCACCTTCCCCGAAAATCGCTGGGCGATTGCTGGTAAGTATAACCGCAATTTCGGATACTTTAAAGCGAGAGAGCGAGAAAAAAGGGAATGTCATTTTGTTAATTGCTCTTATTGGTAGACTCTGAAAAGCGAAACCTAAATGAAAAGAAGATCAGAAGATACGTTCTGCTCAAAATTTCAACATATAACTTTAAATAAATAATATCGACAATTTATTTCGTCGTTCCATCAAATTTCATCACATTAACTTGCGGAGACAACAATTGAGGGAAACTTACGGATAATTAAAAAATACAAAGCAGTACCGGAAATTAATTTTTGCTGAAAATTCAAATCGTATTGTATTGGGGTATGTACGATAATTTCGTACCTAATTCTTATCTTGGAGCAACATAATGTACAACGAAATAATTTTTTCCAGGGCTCTTTTTTAAATTCGTTCATCAGGCGTTTAAATCGCTGACATTTTTAATCAGAAAAAGATCCAAGCTTTCGAACAGAAAGCAACCAACTGCAAACTACTGCGCTGGTTTCAAAAATTCTTGGAATATGTAGGTTCATTCGTCGCAAAATTACGGTCAAGCAGATAATCCGAAAGCTCGGAAAGCACCAATGTACCTATGTATGTCGAAGGGACTATTGCCTCGTGAATAGAATCGAAGTAAAAAATTCGACGTTC